GCATCCAGTGACAAAAACTGACCTACACACTGCAAAATGAGCAAAACATCCAGAAAAACCTTTAAAATTCAGTGGAAAACGAATACACGAAAACATATAACTAGCCGACGCAGGAACTCATCATGACCTAGGAACTGACTGTAGCCTCTTTCGACCCAGGAAAATAGATATAGGCACATTTTGATTGGCTGTTGGCTAGCTGGCTTCCTATTGGTCTAAAATATAAGTTAAAGCGGTGATCTTTTTATTTTTACACGGAAATTTACAGTCAGTATGATTTAGGGCTTATCTTACCATAATATAATGGCGTGTTAATAGGATGTATGCATTTTTGATTACTAGGAGAATATAATTTAACTACAATTTCTAAAAACTTAATGTCCTTAATTAGTACATATAGATAAATGTATGTGTTAACTTATGTATTTTTTAAGTCGTCAATCCAATGACCTGTGGGATTTGTGCATACTAGGTCAGCATAAATCAAGTAAATTTCCCTTCAAATGGTTGAGAGCGACAGTTTAAAGCATACTTCGGTTGACTGTTTTGTGATGAGAGCGATTTGGAGTCCGTTATAAATTACACCGATCTGTGTCTTAATTACTACGTTTTTCAGCTGAGCATTTCCGGTTCATAGCATATCCTGAATAACGATGATTAATACGATTTATCACTTAGACCGCAGCACCACCAAGCTTACAACAATTCTAAACTTATTCTAACCTATTCCTCGATAATGCCTTTTTATGGTAACTGAAAATCTTATTTACCCACTATGTTCTGAAATGATACAGGGCGTGCTTAAAAAGACAGCTGCGTGCTGAATCAAAACTTTCCGCTCTGTAGTAACGCTAGTCCATGCTTTATATGTCCTGCCACGGCTGGAACAACGTTGATAAGCAAACCCAGTAGGTTCGATTTCGTGCTACTTAAGCTGAAAAACCAGCGCACAGTTTCACTGTCAAACAATGGCAAAACAGTCAGGGAGTTTACTGTTACTATTATTAGCATAGTAAATGTTAGTACATTAGCATAGTAAACGTTAATTAGCTCAATGATTGCAAGTTAACCATAATCCTTGACTAGCAACATAATAACTGGGAACTCCAGGCTAAAAATAAGCTAACTAGTAGCATCCAGTGACAAAAACTGACCTACACACTGCAAAATGAGCAAAACATCCAGAAAAACCTTTAAAATTCAGTGGAAAACGAATACACGAAAACATATAACTAGCCGACGCAGGAACTCATCATGACCTAGGAACTGACTGTAGCCTCTTTCATCGACCCACCACGTGTAACGCATCCTTCAATTATTACGAGCATTATGTTTAAATGTAAACGGTGACGGTGCCAAGTGTTATATCGCACACATTGGTCCTATCTGTGTAAAGTGAGCATATCAAAACCATTCTATTGTCTTGTCATGTATATATATATATGTTGTGTAACTGAATAGTTTTAAATATGCCTACTTCGTATATATTTTGTTCAACATATTGATGATGCCTGTAAACTGCAAATAAATGCAAGTCAATAATATAAAGGAATGAATTCGATGTTTACTTCATCAAAAGTTTGATTCTCGTTAGATTGTGGTGAATCTGTGCTGTAGCGTTGCGAAACGAATCACCTAAGTTAATGGTTGTATTTGGCCTGACCAACCAGACAGATAATAATTTCTGTTTCTTGTAAGCAGTTGAGTTTATATGGAGTGCAATCCATTTTGATGAACATAATCAAAAATGGTACATATTGCAGCTGTTAAATAGCAATGAAGCGCTACTTTTGTAAAGGTTGAAATTGTTGAATTATAGCACAACAAAAAATCAGAACAATTTCATCTAAATAATAAAATGAACGCCTTTCGCTTAGGTCAGCAAAATGTACTCGTCTGAATTAGCTATACTAATTGCATATATTGTGACTACGATTATTATCTTGTAGCGGTAAACATTTCCCAAAATTATTGACCATAGGAATAGATTATATCTAAGGGAAGAATTACGTCGTGACCATAAGAATCATCAGTGAGCATTAGATACTGGCCCTAAGAGTTTAAGTCGACTTGTTCAGCTGAAGGCTTCCCGTCAAGCATCCCCGCCATTTGGTACTCCGTCGTGTCACTTTCGTGCACGATAACTAGCTAGCTTTGCTCCCGCTTCAATCCGCGATTTGGTTGCGAAATATATCAATCAATTGTGGTGTTTCGCTTTGCCTTTGGCACACGAGAATCAAATAAGATAGAAGTTGTTGGCATAAGATCTTGCGTTAATATACTCAATACTGTTCGCGAACATCTATAACATCAGCCTCTTATTTTATTTTTTTATTTTTTATTACAGCTTGATTCCACACCGTATTTATGGTACAAGTGTGGAATTTTCAGCGTGGATACCGGTAGCCCAAAATTCGCAGGCCGACCATAGATATCAGGTGTGCGTCGGCGTGGGCTCGAACCCCGGACCATGTGCATGGTCGGCGAGAGTCCGAATCACTGTGCCACCGACGCACTGTGAGCCCAACTGCGAACTTTATCTTCGATAAATACTCAGATAAAACCGGTGAGTTCGCTCCTTTTCGTGTTTGTTCTTGTACCATATTGTTATCGGTATACGTTTCGTCATGACTGATACTAGTCCCAAGGTCATTCGTATTCGCTCAACTACTGAAACCATTCAGCTCGTACCATACTAGCCAGATAATGCTGAAACGTGGTTTCAGATAGCTGGGTCTGAATTTTATGGACATGGGATAACCGATCAATGCTCGCAGTTCCTCACAGTTATTCACAGCCTGCCGCGGGAATTCAGCAAGTGCGTAACAGTGCAGATGTCGAGTCTCGAGGTAAGTAACTCGTGCGAGTTGCTCAAAACATCTCTCCTCAGGATAAACGTTCTCACGGACCGACAACGTCTGGACGAATTATTCCGTAACATCGAGTTAGGGGATCAGTCAGCCGTGAGCATGCTGTCAAGAATGAGAGAGGTTGTTGGCTAAAGTCAGTTCGATGAAGGACTTTTTAGACATTTCTTCTTATCCAAGCTGCCACAGTCCGTGCAGACTGTACTTGTGACACCTCAGGTTGTTATTGTAGATGACTTAGCTATTTCTGCAGATAAGATTCTAGAAATAACCAAATGGTCAGTTCCTGAAATACGCTTGGTGGCCAAGCAGACTTCGAGTAAGGATACTGCAGTGATAGAGTTATGCAACTCCATCCAGCAGATGTTTAGGTCAAACATGCCTTCTAACACCTCCGACCGCCGTCCTAAATCTCCTCAACGGCGAAACTCACATGGTCGATCTAAGTCTGAACAAACGTTCTCTGAAAAACCCTGACTGGTGCTGATACCACAACACCTATAGCCAAGCAGCAAAATGTTGCCAAAATCTTTGTAACTTTGAAAATGTCTCAAAGTCTGTGGGAAACTATCCCACCGGCACGCGTTAGCGGCAACCATCGCCGGTGGCATTAGCCGTCTACTTTACATCCATGATATGATACGTCAGGCCCGATATTTAGTCGACACAGGTGTCAAAGTCAGTGTCCTTCCTGCTACAGCAGCAGATCGACAGAAGGAACATACCTTCAACTTACAGGCTGCAAATGGAAAACCAAATGCAACTTTTGGTCGGAAATTCGTCTGTCTGAACGTAGGTTGACGCAAACATATTCAGTGAATTTCCCTTCTCGCTGACGTCCTAATGCCCATCATTGGCACGGACCTACTTAATCATGATGATTTACTCGTTGACGTCCGCCAAAAACGACTGATTGACAATACTACTAGTCTGTCCGTCAAATGCATCACCTACATAGGCCCCAGCTCGTCACTCGCTAAGGTAAAGGCAATTCTCGATTCAACTTTTCAACCGATCGTTGATAAATATCCGGAAATGAATTGCCCATCAAACGACCTACCGTGCATAACCAGCAATGTTATGAGCCACATCATTTCCTCAGGACAGTCCGTGATATCTAAAGCACGATGACTGGCTCCTGACAAACTGAGAATTGCTAGGAATGAGTCTGACCACGTGCTCACCCTTAGCATCATTCGACCGTTGAATAGTCCAAGGGCATCCCCACTCCAAATGGTACCGAAGAAGGTACCAACTGTCGGCCCCTGCCTAACAAAATTCTGGATTCTCAGTCCCTGTCGTCGTCAGGAATTTTACACAATACTGATATTGTCACTCTACAAGAAACCTGACTCCATGACTCATATGATGACAATATAGTGTCTCTAAATGATTTTAATTTATTCCGAAAAGACCGTGCTTGTTCAAAGAAAAAATGTGGCGGAGGTGTTGCAAAATTTATTTAGTGAAAATGGTCTGTTAGCAACGTCTCGTAAACCGTTAATGCCCAGCTCTTGCTACGCTCAGGCTCACGCTGTCCCTTGAAGTTTCTCAGAAACGCTTAGTAATAACGGACGAAAAAACCGAAACACCAATTGTTGACTCGAGGATTCTTTATTGTTACACCAACATATAAACAATGTTACGACTAAGGTCTGTGAACAAATATTACAATAATGAATCACAATATTACTTCTGACAGTTGTCTCGAGTAAACACAATTAATCCAAAATTCACCAATTGATATGACAAACCACACGTATATACAAGATAAACAAGATTAACCAACAATTACAATAATTGGAACTCACACAATTATTTAACACAAACATATGTACAATCACTAGATAAAATCTTATGGATTCCGGCATGACAAACTACCCTTGAATAACTGTAGGACTTACAGCAGTACGCCTACATTCCTTCTCAGGTTGATGAACCAAGTGGAAGTCGTCCGGACACAAAGAGAATTACCAGCAGCTAGATGACATATGATATCAATTCAGTATATACAATATGAACATATGTACAAGATCATACACCAAGCACACTGGACTGATCATTGATGCGCTACCCCTTGAAGAACTGTAGGACTTACAGCAGTAAGCCTACAACCCTTCTAAGGTTGACGCTCTAGGTTGGAAAATCGTCGCAGAGTTCATTTTCTAACTTCCTTCTATGAGCTATATCCTCAAATCTGAACGGCAACACGCCCATGTCATTGTATCGTAGAATATAGATGACCAACAAACACCCGACATATCTCATCAACCAAGTGTAGAAACAGAGTAATTTACACCAAAGATAATAACATTCAGATAGTAACTTGAAACTAGAAATGCCTTTATTCGTGCAAGTCAATTTAACAATTACTCTCTCGTTTACACTTGGCTTATCCTCACTAAACTGACCATTGATATTCGTCCTTTCAAACGAACTGATACTAGCATAGTCATTGCACAAGATACTTGAGTTGATGGGTGTCTGTTTCATTGTGGATGACAGCACCAACGACGACTGATTGATATCAGTTGATGAACTTAGCAGTGGATCAAAAGCTGTTGTTGCTCGCTTTTCAGAAATTTGTCTACCTGCAAGACCACCACCACTGCTGTCCTTTACTATCAGCTCAGGTTTAACACTAGCATCTGATGATAGGTGGGCTTCACTCTGATCAATTACACTGACGGTTTGACAAGTATGCATGCCTTCTGCAACTGCATTCAATTCTACTTCACGTTCAAGTTGTACGGAACCTTTATTTAACTTAGCAGTAGTAGGCATTCCCTCCATTTCATCATGATCAACCAAAGACAAATCTGCACTATCATGATCATTATCACAAATATTCAATTTACCGTCAAGTTCATCATTTTCAAACTCTTTAATAACAGAAGTAGACAATTTTGGTTCCTCCTCACAAATCATTAAAGGTTTTATATCTTCACTCCGACTAGTTATACTTTGTAAACTTTTGGAGTCAGAACTCCACTCTGAAGCAGTAACTCTATTCTGTGACACTCTATTCAGCAACGGCTTACCAGTTGCAACTACAGACTTCTTCACAACAACGTTATCGTCACACAATTCGGAGTCAGACCTGGAGTTTACATTTAGCTTATCACTGAACTTGCTCACTGGTTCACAGTCCACCTTTGTATGCACCTCTTGCAAACGCGTAAAACACAGCCGTGTTTGTCTTGCATCTTGTAACTTATCTGTTGAGGATGTACTACGAAACCTGTTACACTCACTAGGTCTATATGCATTACTAGACATCATGGAGTCTTCTCGATATCCACCTCTCTGAGGCTTATTCGTCATCAATGAGTGCGTTTTACCCTCAGACTGCTCTATTCTAGGGGTGAGGTTCAATATACTGGCAAACTTGCTCATAGATTGATTGACACTATCTTTTACCAGTTTCAGGATATCATCAAACTTTGGCTCGATACCCTCATCCTCCATACGGGAGCTTATCTTCACCCACTTCCTTTGCAGTCGAGTAGGTAGACGTCTTGCTATTACTTCTAGTATAAAACTCGAGTTGAGGTCACTCATTCGATTCATCGAAATCATTCCATTCTTGTTAATTAGCAAATTATCCAAAAACTCAGCGAGTGCCTGGGAGTCATCCTGTAATTGACCACCATTACCCTTAACAGCCTCGAATAATTTCCCTGCAATCATCGAAGGTCTTCCAAACCTTTGACGTAATATGCTCATAGCCTCATCGTAGCCCCCTCTTGGCTTCATAAACTTACAGCACTGTATAGCTCTTGAAGCATCTCCAGTGCAATATCTCATCAAATACATTAACTTCAATTCATCATTTAATAAAAAACCACTCAACATGATCTCAAACTCCTTTACAAATTGTAAATAATCAGCCGGGTTTCCATCAAAACATCGTGGTTCAAATTTAGGGAGTTTGACGTTCCTATTATCCCTGAACGGCGAAACAGTAACATCCACCATGTCATGCTTAACATCAGACACATCGTTACAATTAACAGACAAGTCACCATGACTTACTTTCCTGTTTGCATCCAAGACACTCTGTCCCTTCTTTGACCCAGGCATTGTTGAACTTGACCCAATTCCAAACACGTTCCAGATATTGCTTGTTCGAAGAGGACTTGGCCGGCACCAGGAATGATGAATGGTGACTATCCAAACATTCACCAACTGTATAAATCCGCCGAATCTGATTCTACCGTCAGAAACTGTCAGCCACGTCTCGTAAAACGTTAATGCCCAGCTCTTGCTACGCTCGGGCTCACGCTGTCCCTTGAAGTTTCTCAGAAACGCTTAGTAATAACGGACGAAAAAACCGAAACACCAATTGTTGACTCGAGGATTCTTTATTGTTACACCAACATATAAACAATGTTACGACTAAGGTCTGTGAACAAATATTACAATAATGAATCACAATATTACTTCTGACAGTTGTCTCCTGACCTCTTTCTGAACAGCGACCGATGAGACGATGACTGTCGTATTGATGCCTCCGCGAAAATTGTGGAAGTTGGTTTTGAGCAAACAACCATGAATTGATCGTTCGATCTTCACCTACATTCACATGTATACTGTGTTTTTATACTCTGGGTCAATATTTTTATCGGAACAACTTTTGATTGCATACAGGACTAGATAGTTTGAGTCTTCAACACTCTAAAACGGAAGAAACAGATACTTGGCTGATTCTCTTATATTTAAAAATTTAAACTCTGTTCGAATTGCCAATGTCACAAACTAAGAGTCTGGTGCCATTATCTGCTCCAAATCCCATTTAAAATAACACATACCAAATAAAAGGAACATGGTTGCAGGAAGTGAGAGAAATACATCCACGGCTTTAACAAATTAATACACGTCTGATGCAGTGGATACGTTAAGTCCGGACAGTAAACTAAACTCACCAGCTTGATTAGTAAAAAAAATCATGGATGGTGTCAGACAACTCTCAGAAACTGTCAATGTCCAGCTCTTACTACACTGGACCTCACGCTGTCCCTGGAAGACCTTCAGAAACAAATTGTAATAACCAACGTGCAAAAACCAGAACACAGATTGTCGACTAGAGAATCTTTATTCTTACGCCGATATGTAACCAAAAATAAGGCTATTACACAGAAAGTCTAAGAATAAATGCTATGAAAATAAGTCACGATATTACTTCTGATAGTTATTAATCTTCCTTCTAATCAGCGATCGATGAGACGATGCCTTCCGTATTGATAACTCCCGCGAAAAATATGGAGGAGTTGAGTTTGAGCAAACAACCATGAATTGATCGTTCAATCTTCATCTACATTGACACTCGCCGGGAAAACAGTGACCCAACCATTTATACCACAAACACCAATACACATTGACTTGGATGCCCTTGCGAGAACCTGGATCACACGGACAGAGCTGAAATGGAAAACAAACAGCAAAGCAAACACAACACAGGCATACTCACAGCAAAATCTCACTCATCGATGACGACCTACGCCCTCCAGTCGAAGGTATCCTCTTGACATCTTGCAACACAATCGCCACTTGTTAGGATGACTCTTGCAGCAAGCAACGGGGCCATAGCAGCACCTCATGATACTCTTCACACATCCTCTTATCTATTCACTACGAATAACCACTGCGATCGCTTGTCACTCATTCTGTCTCATTTCAAGTAACTGTTAACCATGCAAGACTCAGTCGTCTACACTTGCTCCCCGGCGTGTTATACCACAGTGGGGTGATTGACAATTTCTATCTCTGTATTGTTTAAATACTTACTGTCGATTGTTAATATGTTTCTTATATGAATTGCATTATAATTCCGCTAAATACAAATTCCTGAATTCTGCCCTCTCTGTGTTTTGTTTGGATTCTTGTAATTCGGTCATCTCGAAATACTAATATTACGATTACAATAAATTACCACACACAGCCTAAATAGAAACATTCTTTGCCAATCATTGATTTCTTACCTAAAGTTTTTCTCCGTGTGCATGTCATTCTCAGCACTATCTTTTCCGGCGTATATGACCCATCTGATGTGTTTAACATCATTTATAATTCACGGATGTAGTAGACTCGATACAACTTCAGAAATAGGCACGGAGAAACTTTCAACAGAATTCTGCATAACAACAAAATACGGAAACAACAAGTAAACACAGTGAATCCAAAAACACCAATTGATATGACACATCACACGTATATACAAACAGTACACAAAACCTCTCAGATCATGTTTTCATGTGATTTCTTTGAAGAATTGCAAGACTTACACCAGTACGCCTGCAACCCTTCTTAGGTGGACGATTGTAAGTTGAAGAATGTCCGGACACAAACAAGATTAACCAACAATTACATTAATTGGAACCCTCTCAATTATTTAACACAAACATATGTACAGTAAATACATCAAAATTTGTGGACTCTTACTTGATGAACTGCCCTTGAAGAACTGTAGGACGCACAACAGTACGCCTACAACCCTTATTAGGTTGACGCCCTAGGTTGGAAAATCGTCGCAGAGTTCATTTGCTGACCTCCTTCCATCATCTATATCCTCAACTCTAAATGGTAACACCCTCAACTCATTGTATCGTAGAATATAGATGACTAAAAACATATGACGTATCTGACCAACCAAGCGTAGGCACAGAGTAATTTACATAAAGGATAATAACATTCAAATAGTAACTTGAAACTTTATTCGTAAAAGTCAGTTTAACAATTACCCTCTCATACACAGTTGGCTTATCCTCACTATACTGACCACTGATATTCGTCCTTTCAAAAGGCATGATACCAGTATAGTCATAGCATAAGACACGTGAGTTCATTGACACCACCAACGATGACTGATTGATACAAGTTGATGAACTTAGCAGTGCATCAAAAGCTGTTGTTGTTCGACCTTTACAAGCTTGTCTAACCGTAGGATTATCACCACTGCTATCTTTTATTATCAGCTCCGGTTTAACATTAACATCTGTTGATAGGTTAGCTACACGCTGATCATTTACACTGACGGTCTCATGAGTATCCATACCTTCTACCTCCGCATCTGCTCTTAATCCTACTTCACGTTCAAGTTGTACAGAACCCTTGTTCAACTCAGTGTTAGTAGGCATTCCGTTCATCTCATCATGATCAACCAAAGACAAAAGTGCACTATCATGATCATTGTCAGAAATATCCCCTTTACCGCTGTTTGTATGATCGACTCCATCATTTGCAAACTCTTTATTAACAGCAGTAGACAATTTGCGTTCTTCCTCACAAATCCTTGAAGGTTTTATACCTTTACTCTGACTAGCAATACCTTGAAAACTAGAGAAGTCAGGACTGGAATCTGAAACTGCAGCTCCTTTCCTCCGCACAAACTGCTGTGTCGTCTGTGGCACTCTATTCGACAATGGCTTACTGACTGCAACTACCGGCTTATCACCGCACCATTATTGTCACACAATTCGTAGTCAGACCTGGATGACGCTGATTTTACATTTAGCTTACTGGTAAACTTGCTCACTGCTTCACAGTTTGTCTTTGTATGCACTTCTTGCAAACGTGTAAAACACAACCGTGTTTGTCTCGCAACTTGTAGCTTATCTGTTGGGGGTGTCCGACGAAGGCTGTTACACTCACTAAGTTTATATGGATTACTAGACACCATGGAGCCTTCTTGATATCCGATTCTCTGAGACCCTTTCGTCATAATTGATTGCGTTTTGCTCTCAGACTGCTCTATTCTAGAGGTGGGATGCAATTTACTGGCAAACTTGCTCATAGCTTGATTGACACTGTCTTTTATCAGTTTCAGAATATCATCGAACTTTGGCTCAATACCTCCATCCTCTGTACGAGAGCTTATCTTCACCCACTTCCTTTGAAGTCGAGTAGGTGGGCGTCTCGCTATTATCTCTAGGACGGAACTTGAGTCCAGCTGATCCACGTTGTTAAGATAAACGAGAGTATTTCTGTGTACCATCAAATTATCCAAGAACTCTGCGAGTTCCTCGGAGTTGTCTCTTAACTGCGCCCCATTACCCTCAACGGTTTAAAAAAGTGCTACGCGATATCGTAAATGGCCTTCCAAACCTTCGACGTAATATCCTCATGGCCTCTGTATATCCTTCGTTAGGGGGAAACGTTACAGCACTGTGTAGCTCTGGCAGCAACTCCAATGTAGTAACTCAACAAATACATTAACTTCATTTCGTCATTTATCGCAAACCCACTCAACATGACTTCTAACTCCCTTAGAAACTGTGGATAGTCAGCTGGGTTTCCGTCGAAACACCGAGGTTCATATTTAGGCAGTTGAAAATTCCTTGTATCCCTAAACCGCGAAACGTGAACATCAATCTTATCATGCTGAACATCACACACATCAACAAATGTAACAGGTAACTCAGCATTACATACTTTCCTGTCTGCTTACAAAGCGCTTTGTCCTTTCTTTGACCCCGGCATTAATGAACTTGGCCAAACTTTGTAGGAAAAGTTCGAGATAACACTTGTCCAAAGAAGAGGGGCCGACACGAAGAAAGACGAGCAGAATCTATCAGAAACTGTCAGCCAACTCTCACAAACTGTCAATGTCCAGCCTTCACTACACTGGACCTCACGCTGTCCCTGGAAGATTTTCAGAAACTATGCGTAATAAATAACCCAAAAATCGGACTCAAGAACCGTTTATTCTTGCACCAAAACAGAGCCAGCCATTAAGTTATTGTACACAAAGTCTAAGAATAAATGTTATAACAATAAATCACAATAATACCTCTGATAGTTTTTCTGACTTCCAACGAACAGCGAACGATGAGACGATGGCTGCCGCATTGATGACT